CCTATGAGCAGGTGGCCAGGGCTCTCAAATGAGCACCTTTTAAAGGGTCCTTCACCCACTCTGTGTTCTCCACAGAGGCTTCCACGTTGCTGCATAATGGACACACTCCGAAATAGCCAGTGGGCAGGAAATCCGGGGCACTTGTGCGGGGCCGGGGGTGGAGCTGGGGGATAAAGCCAAGGATAGCAGACAAGGGTTAAGATTTTTATTTTGGGTTGGGGTGGGTAGGACAACGTATTTCAGTAATAAAATACAGAATGGAAAAAAAAGGATGGAGAAGGTGCTAGGTAAGAAAGGGGGAGGAAGAAGGCAGAAAGGGGAGAGAGATGAAAACAGGAGGGAAGAGGGTATTGGAGGAAAGAGAGAAACAGGAGGGAGGGAGGGAATAGGAATGTGAAAGTAAGAGGGGGAAAAGAGAACAGAGTGGAAGAGGAAGAAGAAAAGTGTGAAGAGAAACGAAGAGCAGTTAAGAAGGAAGAAGAGGAAGAGAGACGAACAGCCAGGAGGAGGGAGCCAGAAGAAGACAGAAGATGGAAGTTTAGAGACTAGGATAGAGAGCAGTGGAGGGAAGAGAAGGGAGAGGGGAGGGAATTCAGAGAGAAGATAAAGGAGGGAAGAGAAGGGAGGAGGAAGAAAGAAGGAAGGAAGATGAGGGAAAAGAATGACAAGGAAAGAGAGGATCTAGGAAGAGGAGAAAAGAGGAGGGAATGAAGAAAAAGAGGTGGTAAGGGGAACTAGAAGGAAAGAAGCAATAAGTGGAAAGGGATGGGTAATGGAGCTGAAAGAGAAAGGGATGGGGAAAGAAGATGAGGGAAAAGGGAGATAAAGGGAGAGGGAAGAAGAAAGAGGAGCATTTAGGGAATATAAAGGAAGAAAAAGGAGGGAGGAGGATAGAAAGAAGAGGGAAGAAGGACTAGAGGGGAGGAGAGTGGAGGGAAAGGGTGGGTGGGAGGAGTAAATAGGAGGAGAGGAGGGGAGAAGGGGGGGCTGAAGAATAAAGGGGAAGGTGAAAAGAAGAGAGTAGGAAGGGAAGGAATAAATGAAGACAGAAGAATATGGAGGGCTAAAGAGTAAGGAGAGAAGAAGTGGAGGAAGAGAGTGAAAGTGAAGAATTTTCAAGAAGGAGGAAGGAAGGGAAAAGAAAGAAATGAGTGGAGGGAAGAGGAGAGAGGAGGACAAAGAAGGAGGAGAGAAGAGGTTGGTTGGAAGAAGGAAGTGGTGAGAACAGGGAAGATGGAGGGAGAAGGGGTTGGGGTGAGGAAATAAGAAAACGGAGAAGGGAAGAGGATGGAAAACAGAAGAAAGAGGAGGAAATATTAGGGAAGAGGAAAGAGGAAGAAGAGTGGGAAAGGAAGAGGAGGGAGTAGAATGGAGAGAGGTAGAACTCAGAGGAAATAGAAGGAAAGAGTATGGAAGAGAGAGGAAGAATGAAGTGGAGGGGAAGAGGGATAACAGAATAGAGAGAGAGAAACGAAGGGGAGGGAAATGCAGGGAAGAGGGAAGATAAGAGAGACATGGAGGGGGAGGAGGAAGAGGAACTACAGAAGAGGAAGGTAGAGGAGGTAATTAGAGGAAGGAGGAGGGAAAAGGACGGAGATCTGAAGGAAGGGAAGAAAGCTGCAATGTTAGAGTTTGAAAGAAGGAAGAGAAAGGAGGAGGGACCTAGAGGACATAGAAGTGAGATAAAACAAGTGAAGAGGGAGGAGGGAAGAGGAGGAAGGAGAAATCATGGAAGAAGAGAGTAAGGAAGAGAATGGTGTAAGGGTGAGGAGAAAGAATGGAAGTGGGCATAAGAAGAGAAGAGGAGCAATGAGGAGGATGAAGGGGAAAGAGAGGAAGAAAGCAGGGAGAAGCCAGGATGGAGGAGGTGGGAGGAGGGAAGATGAGGGAAGATGAAAGAGGTAAGAGAAGGGAGGAGGGAAGAGGAAAGAAGAGCAGGAAGTGGATAGTGGGAGGAGGTAGAAAGGAGAGAAGTGTAAGGAAGAGGGGAAAAGGGAAGAGGGAAGCAGAGAGAGATGAGAAGTGGGAAAGGGGAATAGAGAACAGAAGGAGAAAGGAGGCTGGAAGGAAGAGGGGATTGGATGAAGGAGGAGAGAGGAAAGAGGAGGGAAGAGAAAGGAGAGATGAAGGAACAGGTGTGAACAGGGAGCAGGAAAGAGTTTTGAGACAGGTGTGGAGGGAGGAGGGAAGTGGAAGGAAGACAAAATAAGGAGCAGGAGTGAAGATAAAAGGCCAGAAAAAATCAGGATAAAAAGAAGGTGGCTTACAGGAGAAAAGAGGAAAGAGGAGGAAGGAAGGAGGGAATAGGGAAGTGGAGTAGGAAGAAGAGGGAGGAGAGAAGAGGAGGGAATAGTTGGTAGGAGCAAAGAGGGAGACAGAGGAAGGTCAAAGGAAGAGGAGGAGGGAGGAAAGAGGAAGGAGTAAAAACGAGGAAGCATGGAGGAGGGATTAAGAGAAGATCTGGGAAGATGAGGGAAGAGGAGAAAAAAAGAAAGCTGATAAGAAGGACAAGGATGGAAGAAGCTAGAGGAGGGAAGGAAAAAAGGAGGAGAAAAGGAAAGAGAAGAGAAGGAAAGAGGAAGGAGAATGAAAAGAGGAAGAGAAGGGAAGAAGGAGGTACTGAAGAAGAGAAGGAAGAGTGAAGAGAGAAGATGAGGAAAAAGAAAGGGCAAAAGAGAAATTACAGGGGGAGAAAATAAAGAGAAAGAGTGGAAAATAGGACAGAAGGAAAGAAGATAGAAGAGGGAAGAGGAGGGAGGAGAGATGAGAAAAGAAGAAGGAAGGAGACAAAATAGAGAATATGAAGGAAGGAAGTAGGAGTAAAAAGGAGGAGAAGGAGGAAGAAAAGAGAAAAGAAGAAAAGGAGGTTCCTGTAGAAATACAGTGTCTGGCAGAGGGCAGGGGATTCTGGTAGTCCATGAGCCTGTGGAGGATGCCAGAAGTTGACTGAGGAGAACAACCATGAGCCTCAGGGTATGATGTGAGCCTCAGAGTATGTAGGTGGTCTCAGAGTAGGGCAGGAGTCTCAGCCTGATGCTGGGTGCCTGGGGGAAGAAAGAAAATTGGAGAGAGGTGAAGAGACTCACACAGATAGGGTGGGAGCATACTACAAGGTTCCCCAGGAGGGCAGAAGACTCTGGGGAGGAATGGAGGCTGGGTTCGGAAGAGGCGTCCATCTAGATGTTAGGAGTCTGAGGATTATGAGTGCAGCTCAAGGAAGGGGAGGAGAGCAGGAATCTGGCCCCCATCCAGGTAGATACTAGGAGTGTGTTTATGATAGCAGCAGGCAGGGGGTTGGGAGACTCTAGGGCAGGGTCTAAGGCTCTGGAGGACTACAAGACACTGAGGAAGGGGACATTAGTTAAAGGGACAGTAAGAGGCTTGGATGAGACACAGGGCTAAGATAAATGTGAGAAGGGCAGGGCATGGGAGAAGTCTGAAGGAAAGCAGACTGACGCATACTACCGGGACATGGGCACAACAGCAAGGAGGAAAGCAATGGTCTCAGGGCAGGAGGAGCAAGGACACTTGGGAAGGCATGGGTGTGAGCAGACACAGTAGGGAGGCTGTGAAGAGTGACAGCAGGATTTCAGAGGCAGAGAGAGGATTTGTTAGGTGGTCAGATGGGCTGAGGAGAGGATGGCAGTCAGGGATGGAGGAGGGCAGGCACATCAGGAAGGGTGCTGATGGTTGAAGAGGAGGCCTAAATGCTGTGGAGGAATGCAAGAGCACCCTGGGGAGGTATGGGAAGCAGTGAAGCAGGTCCAGGGTGAGGGAAGGAGGCTTCAGAATGTTCTAGGTGTGTGGCTCAGGATGTCCTAGGAATGTACAGGCTTAGGAGGAATGCAGAGGGGAGGGGAATAGTGGCAGAGGGCAGGCAGGAGGCTTATGGCAGGGCGAGAATTCTGGAGGGAAGCTAGGAGGAGTTCTTGGAGGCTTAGAAAGTTAGGAGCTCAAGGGAGGGCCAGAGCACAGGCTAGGTGGGCAGGGCAGGACAGAAAGTCTGAAGGACAGAAAAGCCAGGGAAGAAAAGCAGTAGGATCTGGGGTAAAGAGCAGGTAGGAGACGACCCGAGGGGACAGAAGGCTGTACAGCAGCAGGGCAGGAAGGAGCTAAGGAGGGTAGGGAGTTCAGGAAACGGTGTGGAGGTGAGGTGAGATGGCTAGATAAGAGGGCAGAGGGTTCAGGAGGAAGCTAGGGTCCCAGGGAGCACGGCAGAAGGATGTGGAAGAAGCCAGAGGCTGAAGGTTAAGGTTGGAGAATGTGTGGGTAGATGAGCTGGGTTCATGTGTGGGAAAGGCCAGAGTCCATGAAGAAATGGGAGGATGAGGAAACAGGGCCCAACATTTCCCAAGTAGGGGGCTTCCTGGGACACTCAGAGGTAGGCCTGGGCTCTTCAAAACAGCCTGTATCTAGGTGTTCAAGTGACACTTGCTTGTCACCAAGAGCTCCCTGGTGATCAGAGGACACTGATAAGAAAGTGTTCCCAGGAGCCTTCATGGTGGTTCTTGTACCATTTGCCAGTACAAGCATATACCCAAGTCCCTGAGCTCCAGTGGCTCTGTCCCAATCATCAAGCCAGGTCCACAGGGTCCTACTTGTGCAGGACCACACAGTCCCTGCAAACCTAGGGGCCAGACCTGTGGATGCCTTTGTGTGCAAAGTAACCTCTGCTCTACTGGGACGCTGATCAACTCGATTCCTGGGGACTGGACGATCAGTTGGCCATGGCCGTGGATAAGCTCTGTTGCTGCTCAGAAACTTCATTTATTAAAATTAATAACACGAACCCTGCCCTTGTTGTCTATCACTACAGGTGGAGGGTTTTCTGGGATTCTTTCTCCAGAAGACCATGATTAGAAAGTCCATGGAAAGATGGACCCCTGCCCACAATGATGCATGTCCGCTGGGCATAGATCTAGGCAGTCTGTTGACTGAAAGTTCGTGTTTAACATTTTCTTTAGAATTCCTAACCTAAGCATTGCATTAAATGGAGCCTTCTATTGGTATAAGAATAACAATGAGGAGGGATTCTCAACGCCCCTGTCCTGTACTGCTCCTGTAACTGGGGTCATGGAGATTGCTCTCCAGTTGTAATTGGGCCGGATGCTCTGAACTATCACCACGCTGACCATGTGGCCTACAAAAGGGGTGTATCCCAAGGGAAGGTGCAGGGAGTCCAGGGTGAAAAAGATGCTGTGGTTCAACATTCCTTCTCTACGGTGGATACTGGTCACAAACACCTGTTGGAGAAAGGGTGGCAGTGAGTGTGAAGCCTTGGTCATCCTGGCCCTCCGTATTGGCAGTAACCTCTTGTTGACCCTGCTCTCTCACTGTTGCCTGTCCTGCCTGCTGCACTGCCAACACTGGCTTGCTGTGTTCCCCACTATCCTTCCCAGATCCAACCTCACTCTAATCAAAGAGGAAGCTCTCGGGTGGAGCTTTCCTGGCTATGGAGACTTTGTCCTAAACGTTAATCATCTCTGGCCATTAGCCCCCGTGCTTAACGTTGACAGATCAAGGACTGAATGAAACAGGATGAAGTCCAGCATAAAGTGGACTCTTACTTCTGCCCTCTGTCACTCTTCAAGCTTGTGGCTTCACGTTTACCCATGTGGAATCTCATTTTCAGGATAGCTTCGCCACTGCTCCATCCCCACCTCCTGCCCCCTTTGCATTCCCCCTTCCCAGCAACATTCTCTGGACTGCTCCTTTTCCTTCCTGTTGTTTCTAGGACATCCCAAGTAATGGTCAACCTAGGAAACCCTGTGCCTCGAAACTGCAGTATGTCCACGTATGTTTTTTCTCTTTTGCCCCTTGTTACTCCTTTACAAAGTCCTACCATTAAAGCAAATGGCCCAAGGGTCCATGCTTCCATAGTTCCCAAATGCCAGCACACCAAACAGTCACTAATATCACCACAAGAAGCTTTCCAGCAACCCAACAACATAGAAACTGATTACCTCTTCCAGTTGCCTGCGTTTTGTGGCCTTCACTGAGTGTACTGTGATTTTTGAGGATCCTTGTACCACAGAGTATTCAATATCCAACCAGTCCCCTTCATAAGGCATAAAACCTAAGATGGCTAAGAGAAAAGGGAGTTGAAAGTTCTATATTTAGCTCCAGTCTCATCTTTGTGGGATTCTGGATAAAAGAGATTATGTTTTAACTTTTGTCAAGAAAAGTGCACTGGTTACATTGACTTGTAAGACCAGGATCAAGCAAGCAGTAGGTGCAAAGTGCAGGTGGCTTCCTGCCCACAATGGAAATTTATCATTCTTGGGCTTTGGTTTTCCTCCACTCCCTTGGCAGAGTCAACTGGACAAATGGACAATGACATCACAGTTATTTCTTTGGGGACCCCGAAGATTTACTGCTTAATTGGTCACATTCAGAGTCCTTTGTGGAGACAGGGTCTCAGGGTCCCAGGTTGTCTTCAAGCTAGCAAGCTCTCCTCTTTCACTCCTGTCTCCCTCTCTGTATATCCTGTCCCCTTCTTCTGTCTTTCCATCCCTCTCTCACTCTCTCTCTCTGCTTCCCATTCTCTTTGTTATCTACAAATCTCAATCCTCTCTATCCCTCCTGCTCTATCTCATCTTCTTTCTCCTCCTCAACTACCCCTGTCCCTCTCTTCCTTCTCTCTCCCTCTCCCTCCACCCGTCTCTCAATCACATCTATTTTCCTGCCTTTTCTCTTCCCCCTTTCCTGCCTTGCCCTCTCTACTTACCTCTCTCTCTTTCCCTCTCCTTTTCTCTGTTTCCCTCACACCCTCCCTCTCTCTCCCACTGCAGCCTCCCTTCTCTCTTGCTCTCTTCCCCCTGCCCCTGTATGCTTTGCAGCCTCTGCCTCTCTGCAGGCTTTCCCCCCTGCTCTCTGCACACATGCACACGTGCACACATGCACACACATACATGTGTTAGGAACCCAGACTCAGGTTTTCTGCCAGAGTAGTGTGTGCTCTTAACTACCACACATGTTTAACATTTGAAACAAACCTTTAGAAATCCTGTCTAGGTAGAAGTGGTATTCATCAGCGATGTAGATGATATTTTTCTTCACATGGGAAACACAAACAGATAAATCTTTGATTTCCTTAGGTGCATCCTGTACTGAAAAAATACAGACCTACGAGAGAAATAAGCCACTATAAAACCTGATTAGAAATAAAATGTAAATCTACATTTCTAAAACACTGTCCATAGAAGGACTGTGCTAGGAAAGACCCTTAGGAGATCCAAACTTCCAGATTTATGTCATCTGTCTTTGTTGCACAACAGCTTGTCTCATTGGTAATTCTTTCTCCTCTGGGGACTTTCTACTTGTCAACATCAACTCCATTGTCATTTCTCTCAAACAGATCTTCCTTGCGGAGTGAAGTACCAGGCACTTGCCTATCTACTACCACTCCCAGTAGTCCCCAGGCCTATGATCTATTGTACCACAGGCCTGTCTGTGTCAGGACACCACAAAACCTCACAAAAACCCCATGGGAAGAGCAAGTCTTCACAAATCTATGTACAGCTTACTTCTGTTGCTTTCAATTCATGAGAGAGTGGGTCTTCCTCCACAAGTGCAAGGACTTTGTCTCCAGCATGCAGGGGCACAGCACCAAGGACAACATCAGTGCTGAAGAAGACACAGTCTTCGATCCAGCCGTAATCATTCCCGCAACTCGTCACGATGCCCTTCACAACTTTAGTGTTTCCTTCGCCTGTAAATCAGGGACACAGCAGGTGCCGTGAATTAAGCTCCAAAGCAAATGCCCACTCCAAAGAATCCTCCCCCAGGGGGATGTGGTTCACTAGCATGTCCTTCTGCAAACAATGGTTCTGATTTCAGGAGCACATGACAGGGACTGGAAGCACTATGGGGCATCTGCAGGATTCTGAAGGCAGAATGTCAAGCTTCAGTCTTGGCTTTGCCATGCTCTTCACAGGAGGATCCTGGTGAGAAGCATGAGCTGAGCCCCTGATAGCCTTGATTGTAACCCCAGCGTCCTTCCCTGATGGTCTGCATAACCCCAGTACATTTCTTAAGTCTCTGACCACTTTTGCAATCCGTGTCTCCTGATTGCTCTTGTGCACATTAGCCAGCACATACGTGACAACTCCTTGGCAACTGTGAGTGTCTTGTACACCTTAGAGTTCAAATGCTATTGCTGTCACTGTGTCTGCTGGTCGGCATTCTTTATGGGACCACAGTCACTGTAAAGTGTTACTTAACAAGTTACCATGGTGAGAGGCAGTACATATAGGTTTTAAGGACTCATCAGAGACAGGCCTGTGACAACAGGTATTTCAACCTTTCTACTAGGAATAATGACAGAGAAGGATCAAATGTTCAAGACCTTCCTAGGCTTCAGATCAAGCTTGAGGTCATCCTGAGAAACAAAGTGAGTCCTTGAGTCAAACTCCCAAGAGAAGAAAGGACCTGGAGGGAGACTGAGTTGTACACTGGTTGTCTGGCATGCAGGAGACCCTAGGATCCATCTCCAGCATGACAACCAGGTAAGCCATAAAACTGGTTTGTATTTGTAAGGCCAAGGCTCACACTGTGGCACTAGACAGGCCCAGGACTCATTCTTTATGCATCTTAGGTTGGCATCAAGCTTGTGACCCTCTTGCCTTCGAAGCCAAATGGCTGTAGGATTGGCAAGGCAAGACAAGGGTTTCTCTGAAAGGATTGCTCATGAATATTAACCACATACTTGACACAAGGAACCACCAGACTCAAGTTAGAATCACTTCAGAGCTTTGGTGGATCCACCTCAGGAAGTCTTACATTGTCCTAGACTCCCAACCACCAACAGGCCATCTACACATTCCACTTGAGGGCTGACTAAATGTGAGACCCATCTTGGAGGGAACAAGTTGGGTGAAATCGTGGCCCTGAACTTCCACCCATGGGAAAGAACTTGGACTGACTCCATTCCTGCCTCCAAATACAAGCTGGGAGGGGAAGAAGCAAGGGGCAATCTGTGTTCAGACAACAGTGCTTCCCTGCTCCTGGAAGTAGAAGGAAGACTCTCAAGGGCTTTTTCTATCCCTAATGGGGAAAGTTGGTCAAAGTCCCTTCCCACATTGGCCCACCAAGGCAATTTGGTAGCGTTTCAAATTTCACCTGAATCATGGGTATCTCAGATACCCTCCAGCTCAGTAGCTACTGAGGACAGCTACAGGCATGGTCATTCCTCACCCCACCCCACCCCCTGCCAATGCTCACAGCTAATAAGGGCCATTCTCAGGTATTTTATGCAAAGAAGAATAGGATACCTAGTTCCTGAAGAATAGTTTCCAGGTGTGACCGATTTATTCCCACAGAGTCAGTATTCGACCGAAAGAAGTACACTAGACGAAACCACAGCCTGCTTAAACTTGAGGCACCACAGTCAGAGAAACAGCTGCAGCAGGTGCATGAGGTGCATGAAGGTCGGGAAGTTGTGACCCCCATGATGTCACCTCTTGATTTCCTCCCTCAAACCTGGGAAATGGTACCAGATGGCTACCAGGCAGCCCCCTGGACAGCCAGGCTCATCCTACCACCCCAGCCGCTCAGCAGGAGTCCCTTCCACAGCCACTCCTGAGAACTTGGTAACCAGTGGGCATTGTTACACGAACCAACCAATGGGAGTGAGGCATGTGCTCACAATGCTCTTCTGGCCAATGGGAAGCTTCATGAAGGGAAACATGGATCCTCTTATGCATTTTGACCCTAGTATAGGAAGAGCATATGAATGTACTGTCCCATGATCCCTGGGGTGTTCTCTGAATTTGGAAAGAGATTACTGCAATGTTCCCTGGCAGGCTCTAGTACTTGGGCGGAAAACATGAGGCCTGGAAGTGCCCTTGGAGTACTAGACCTCTGGCTTAGGCACTGTGACAGAAATGTGTCCCTGGGCAGACAAACAAAATCAAATACGCTTTCCAAATAAAAATTGGCCATTAAGTGATTAGACAGTGTTCTACCGAGGATTTCTGTGGGAGTGGTGGGGGCTGCAGGAATGGTGGTTGGGTTCCTGTAAGTAAGCCAGGGTGAGTTTGGCAAGGCAGTGTTCTTGTCGAATGTGTGGGTCCTGGATGTATTTCACATTGGGGCCCTGTACCACGACTGGGATAGGGATTCTGTGAGTAGGTCACAGCCATCTTCAACATTTGCTATTCATGCTAGAGCTCCTCTGATGGAAGGCAGTCCTGCATTAACACAGAAACTCCTAACCCTCATTGCTACCACGCAGCCACTGTTAGTCTTAGTATGCAAGACATCTGATGGACCTTTACCCATTCCTTCATCCACTCCCTGTGGGCCACTAACTCCAAGACTCTAACATGGAAGTAGTGAATAAACTAGGCAATCGTCTTGGTCCTGTGGCTTTACAGTCCTTAGAGCCCAAGGAAAGCCCACTTGATACAAAGGGAGAGTAAAAGAAGTAAAAAAAAATCCCACGGTGGTATGTCCTCAAAGCAGACACACACATTCCCTTCAGGAATGAGGTTTGATAGAACCACAGGACTTCAAGGTCATGATTGAGCCTTGATGTGGAATGAAGATCGTTAGACGGGACATGGCTGGGGGGAGGAATCCGAGGAGAGAGATGAGTGGAGGGGAGGCTTCCCTTTAATGCCCAGTGAACAGCTTCATTGAGCACGAGAGGTGCTGGACATGATTAAGGGTGAGAATGTGCTGGACATGGGGGTAAACGCCAGTCATTCGAGCACTTTCAAGGCAGGGACAGAATAAACTCTGTGAGTTTGTGGATAACAACATGGTCTACATAGTTATCTCCAGGCCAGCTAGGCCTGTGTAGTCAGATACTGTCTCCACAAGCAGAGAGAATGACTGAACATGAGAAAGAAAGGGGAAGCATGAGAGAAGAGCCTTCCCCACAGCAGCCTGCTTCATCTCCAGTGATATCTAGTAACAGTCTTGCTGAGGAAACTCACACCATCCTGAGAAGGAATGCAAGGTCCAATCCCTAAAAACCATGTAATTGTGGTAAGAATGTTTCATGTCACATGACTTAGTCCAGGGTGGTTTATATGACAGGAAGTATAGGGAAGCAGGGTGCCATATACTGACATCTCTCAAGCCACATCCTGTACTGTACTGTACTGTACTGTACTGTACTGCACTGTCTCTTAATTCTATGGCAGGGGGGCTTCAGGAAGTGTGGCCTGATTTAGGCTGTGAGACCTGGGGGAAATGTGGAGGTCCAAGTTCTGCCACAGGGCCTCAGGGCATCATTCCCCAGGAAAGGCTGACCTTTAGATCAGGAACTACCTTTAGACCAGCTCACCTGAATGCCCAGCAGACACTAGCCAAACACTGTTAGAGTCCATTCTGCCTCTCCCACAGTCTGCTGAGAAGAACATGGCTCTGGGTTTTCTGGGAGCTGTGGAAGCAACTGTCACTAGCTCCTCATGGTGTGACATGTTAAAATAATTTCCAACATTTACCCAGAAAACATGGTCGCTTTTCCCTTGACCCATATGTGCACAGAAGCCTGTTGCACAACACTAAACTGAAGAATGCATTTGAAAAATCCTCCATGTGATGACAGAGTCCACAAGGTGTTGGGGGGAGGCAGAGATCAAGTGACTGGCAGCCTCACGTCAAGTGAGGGCGATTAGCTTGGGTGGAAAACACGAGGCCTCTGAAGTGCAGTCATCAGGAACACTGCTGCCTGCATTCTCTGTCCCACCTTCACTGGGGGTCATCGGTTACTTTGTACAGAGGCATGTTATGCACTCAGGGAGTACCTATCCTGGAATCTGTGACGCCTAATCTGCGTCATTCCTGTATATGGTTGAAGGCACAGAGCTGACCCTCCTAGACAAGTTACCTTGAAGTGCAGACAAAAAGAAGGAAATTAGTTTTCATGGAGGGTAAGCTACCCCAAGATGTGAACAGTTTTGGGTGGTGGACAGTCTACACCCTGGCATAGACCATCTTACAGGATGCAGATGGGTCTATCCACTGAGATTAGCAGAGGCATACCTTCTCCTAGGTCTGGGCCTGGCATGCTTACAGGTCTCTTTACTTCATGGACCAGACTGCCAACCTTGCAACTGCCGGGCTGCGAGTTATACACGCACCAGGGTGGCATGCTGCCCATATTATTGCCATTGTTGCTACCTCTTTGACCTCTGCCCTCTGTCCTGGTCCTCGGGCCTCTTCAATTTCTCCCCAGGAGTCCCTAAGTTCCTGACATGGAATTGACCCAGGAAGTATCACCCAACCTTTCCCAGAAGGATCCCATGGATGGTAGCCAGGAGAACACCCACTCTCCCTGGCCGTAAGAAGTCGTCTATGTCCACCAATGATGTCATTGTGTTTTAAGTTCAGCTTACACAGAATCCAGCTTCCGCCCACTTGCAGGGCCTTCTCCCTGTCCCCTATATGGTGTAACCATGTCAATTCACCTTAACACTGGGAAAACTCAGGAATGCTGCAAGTCCCAGGACACCTTGGATGTGGGCTCACATCCTCTTCTAGGTGACTCTCCACAGGTGACCCCAAGTTAGAACCTGGCCCTAGATCCCCCGTGGGCCCAGCTACAGGAGCAAGTCAGGAGGCACACAGGCACAGAGAGTATCTAGCTCTGTGAGACCTGGTATGCAAGCCTGTGAGCTCAGAACTACCCGCATGAAGCAGGGATGGCTATGGGAAGAATGCCTGCCTCCGGGGGAAATGACTGCAGAAGAACCAGACAGGTCACAACTGCAGAAGTGTGTACAGAGTCCACTGGACAGAGATGTGTCTTTTTCCAGTCTCACAATAAGAGGACACATCAGGAGATGTTTAGCAAGGACCCCAGTGGACAGCACTAGTCAAGGATAGGAGGCTAGCCACCAAGAAGCACACGTTTGCATACTGGACTATTCCAGTCCCTACTTGGGGAACTTCAATGCCTTTTTGATCCCTGTGAAACCACTCTCCCTCAAAATGGCACCCCAACCCTGAGTCACGCCTCTGGTCCCTCTTCCTTCTTCCTTGTGCTCCAGGCTCTGCCTGTTCTCAGGGCAGAGCAAGGTCCTGGGAGCACCAAGGATGGCAAGGGACTCCTGCTCACAAGATGTGGGATCATCTTGGGCAGCCTCTGAGAGCTCTGCTCCAGTCTGCCTAGCTTATCCCTAGGCTGTGGACACTTTACATCAGAAGCCACCTCAGGCTCCTGGCCGGTGGCTTAAAGCCACAGACTCCTTGGTCCCCGCACTGTCTGGCATTTCCACAGATGATCAAAGCAGTGTCCCGCATCATTGCTGGGTACACTCTACCTGGTGCTCTCAGTTGTAACCGGCTGTCACATGACACATGGCCTCACAGGACAACACTGACTCTTCACCTCATTTCCATTCCTGTCTTGTGATCTGAGGCCTTCAGGGAGTGGCTGCTGATGTCAGTGTTTGAGCTGGGGCAGGAATCTTCAGGGGAGAGACAAGGAGCAGCTATCCCAACAGCTTTGACCAAGTCCCATTTCTGTGTATTCATAAACAACAAAGTATAGCTTTTTGTGTTTTCAAATAAAGAGGCAGTGCTGAGATTTTACCAAAAAAGGAACTCAGGAGGTGCCTGTGTCCTTCTGGTTCCTAACGAATCCCAAGCCACAAAATGATTAGACAACACAGTGAGGGATGCTAATGTGCCAGGTAGTTGCCCAGGGGTGTCCAGAAGAGCCCTGAATGTTTGGACACGGACAGGCTACTTTGTAGCGGGGAGGATATTGGGGAAGGGAGAACTTCCAGGCTTTGTAAGGAGCTGGATGTGCTGGGTGCTCCGTGGGCTTCCCTTCCTGTCTGAAAAGTGATGCATGTTTGTAAAACCCTTCAGCACAGCCCTGCTTCTCTAGGTTTCAGGGCCCTGGAAAGAAACTCCTACTAAGCAGGGGACTGAGAAAATGGGCAGGTTATTTACTCAAGCGCTACTGGATCAGACTTTAAAAGTCCGTGCTCCTCGGGAACACACTAGGAGGAGATCCTTCCTTGCCTCTTCTACCATCCGGTGGGTGTAGCCGTGTTCTGTGCCTTTCCTCTCAGGATCTCTCACTTTTGAAGCTTTCTGAGTTTGCCAACCTTTCCCCACGCTTATGGATTTTCCATAGGAAAAAAAAATGTATGTCTTTCTTTTGGGCTTGCCCTCAACGGCCAGAAGAGGGGATCAGCAGCCCTGGAGTTGAAGTCACTGGATGTAATCCACCTGAATGTAAGCACTTGGACCCAGATTCCTGGTCTCTGACAGAGCCAGACATGGTCTGAATTGCTCAACCTCTGACTATGGAGTTATCCTAAGAGTTCAAATCCTTGGATTTAGGACCTTCTCTAATCCACTGTGGTCTCCTTTTTACTTCAATTATACTTGCGAGGACCTTATTTCCAAGTGAGGTCTTATATTACTGTTTTAGGCTGTCATAAACTGTGGGACACTGTCCCAAGAAGTCCAGTGCCTGTCACACA